AGGACCGATTTTCAGTTTGTGTTTCCACACAAACTGTCTTTGTAACCTTGTTGTTTTTGTTTTGGTTTAGTTTTAAAGAAGTGGGGGATTAGACTGCAAAACCCCCTTGTAGGGGGTTTTAACTCAAAACCCCCTTGGCTGCGTTGGGGCAAGTGATGGTTTAGTGTTAAAATCTCACTTAAAATGAACAAAAAGAAAAAAATCAGTCCATAAATTCTGATCATCCCCCCCCCCCCTTGCGGGAGGGGATTTTTATTTCGGGGGGGGGGGGTTGAACGCAGGCTACGTCCATGCCTTTGATCCAAAAGAAGGATAAATAGGATAGCAGACTTATAAAAGGATATAACAAAATAAAGAAAAAAAAAATAAGCCTGCCACTTGTTGTGCTCACCAAATATTAGACATGCATGGATGTGTGTGTTATAGCGAGACCTCTCATTTACCAACTACCCGAACTCTGACCTGCGACGTAGCAACCTGTGAGCAGTTTAGACCAATAGCTCGCTTTCACGTTACAGGTTGCATCGTCACATGCCAGTATGCAGGCCTTCCATCAAAATTGGTTTCGATAAAAGTCAGTTGTGACAGCTGTTCAGTTTTTGTTCATACCCTTATAGTACCTCTAAAAGAATCAATAACACTGAAAATACGCGTAACTGTTCTTTTATATACTAAAATAAACATAGAAAAAAAAATTCTGTTTTTCCTTCATGTTTTAAATCTATTTTCTTTTCTAGCTTCTTATCTAAATCCGAAAGTAAGTCAGAAGAATATATATTTGTTTAAATCTGCTCTTTAGGTTTTCAAAAATAATGTGATCGTAATATTAATAAAAATGCATATTAATAATGTTAGAAGTTATAAAATTATCATAATAATAGGCTACACCTACCCGTTAACACTGCTACAACACCATTAGCAAGACAGGAAGTCGCAATCAGTGTAACGACAATCCAAAGTTGGCAACTCTTTAGGAATAACATTTGCAGACAGTATTTCTAGAGTGAATATATTATACATGTAGTTTAATTTCCTCGATAACTGCATAATATGTCTACCATTTGCCATCAAAATGTGCATAGAACTAATTCGTTTCTAATGTAATACAAAAAAAAAATTGAGATGAAATAAAAAAAATGTATACAGTGTTAAACGCAGCATAAGAAAAAAAAAATTTTAAGTAAACACACATATGAAAGTATCAAAATTAAATATCTCTATTCTATTAAGATTCTATTAAGAAGTCTCCAAAAAATCACAATTACAGACAGGCCACAAAAAAACAAATAGATGCTTTCGGGGGCCGCTAAAAACTTGTTAGGCTCAGTGTCTGCATGTTTAGGATACAGACGTTAAACAATTACTAAATTAAATTTCCTCGTAATTGTTGGGCTTTGCATTTCGGTACTTACTTTATTTATAATTGTTTCAAATAAAATGCCATGACATTGTATGAATTTCGATATGCTAAAGAAATACACGAATGTAAATTGAAAATAACACAAAATGTTCTCTGTGTTAGAATATAGCTCACATAGCCTACCTAAAACTGCTGTTTATAAGTGCTGTCTGTGTGCACTTCTAAGGGTCATTTATTCGGAAACCGAATTTTAAAAAAGTAATATCTATAATAGCTCAATACAGAGACTACCTTATAGGTTTAAGGTAAAAATTTATATAAGCTAGGCTGTAAAGAAACTATCCAGGAAGTTTAATCTAGATGTATTCATTGAAAAGACATTATATAAGTAGATGTAGGTGTTAATGGAAACATCTTCAATCTATCTATTCAATCTATTCAATGCATTTTGGATGGTTTTATGTATTTTTTTCGTGTAGAGAATAACTAGGAAGTTTAACAAACTGAGTTTATGTACGTCTATCCAAATACTTCCCATAGAAGTTATAAACTTGTCAGGTTCCTCTCGAGCTAAAGGTTAAATTTCTTCCTATCTGAAGTTAAATATTTACTATGTAATGGATTTTTTAAACTAGAAATCTAAAAAAAAAGGAAAGGATTCAGCAGTATAGGTTTTTTCTTGTTGGTGTGGGGGCGGTTTGATGACATATACAAGGGTGTCATGAGGCCAGCACAGCGACCAACCATTTTACTTGCCCCAACTAATTATCAGGTACCCATTAGAGATGGGTGGACTCAGTGGCGCAATAAATGCACAGAAATTAAAAATCCCAGTCTTCACCAAGATACGAACGCGGGATCCCTTGGTTCGAGAACCAAGCACTTGACCAGTCTGCCCCTGTAATAGTTAGTATAATATGCATGAGCGTAGCCAGGATTTTTTTCGTGGGGGAGGGGGTTTGCGGGTGTATACTCAAAACCCCTAATCGGCTTGGCTACGTTCAAATAATTTTAGTGTGTATTTGCTTTTTTTAAAATATTTTTTTAATATTTAATATTTTTTTTAAATTGAAGAGGTATTTTAGCATCAAACCCATCTGAAGAGGGGTTTAAACTCAAAACCCCTTTTGGCAACGCTCATAGCATTTTGAGTGCGTAATTTGCTTTTTATTTTACATTTAAGTTGGGTTTTTTTTAGCTTCAAATCATGCTTGCGAGGGATTTAAACTCAAAACCCCCTTGGTCTACGCTCCAAGATTTTAGAGTGTGTAATTTGCTTTTTTTTTGTATTGAAAAGGTACTTTTTAGCTTCAAACTTCACTCTGACTACACTCATAGAATTTTGAGTGTATAATTTACCTTGTTTTTAATATTAAAAGGTATTTTAACAGTTTCCACTGAAGAATATTCTGGTGATGTGGCAGGTCTGAAGCAGTGCCACCCCCTGACAGACAACGAGAATGTACCTAGGATATCATAGGTATCTGTGAGGTCGGTTGTTATTATCCCTTCGGTTGATATAACAATGAGGTATATTGTTATTTTAAATAAGCTCCATAAACGATTAATCTCCAAGCCCAGGTTTCCATATTGACGTTGTTTTTTCAACTCTGTTTTTCAATTTGGTTTATTATTATTATTATTACAGGTTTCTGGTAACCTTTGTAACTCCAACGATGAAATTCTTATGTGAGAAATTTAAAAGAGTAAAGTTTTCCTTCTGTTCCTTTTTTTTTTCTACCGCTGATTGGTTCGTGGAAGCGCGCTATAACATCTAGCGAGTAGACTTTTAATAAGTTATTTAGCCTGTTTTTTTTTAAAATTGTAATATATTTAATGTATGCCAAGATTTATTATGCTATACAATCTTTATCCTTCCCCACAAAAGGCTTTTCGCTCAAGTAGCGATTGGCTTCCCGGTATATAGTCCAGATTCTTATTGCCACCATACCTTGTTGGTTTAAGAATTACATAATTAAAAAAATTATTTTTTTTATTTACAGAAAACTTGACTTTCCCCCATTACCGTTTCTTTCCTGGTGCCTATATTTGATCAGGAGACCATGAACAAGATGTATTATGGAAACGATTTTGACGTGGCTAGTACCTAGGTATTTCGCGTTTTTAGTTGGTGTTACTGGTTTGCCATGAATAAGATAAGTGGACTTTATTTGTTTTAGCTTTTTTTGTTACTCCTTATAACTGACATTTTTCTGGGTGAAAAGACATGCTTAAATTTGATTCCCATTTCTGTAATTCATCTAATTCTCTTTGTAAATTTTTTTTATCTTGTGTTGTTTTTATTGTTCTATATATTATGCAATCATCTTCGAATACTTTGACTTTTGTTCCTGAACTAATGCAATTTGGTAAATATATTGATTACCTAGATCTTTCTACATTAGGGTTTGAAAAAAACCTTACTTCTTTTAACTACTTTACAAAACAACGCCTTGTTCCAACTTTCTAAAAATATTTTCACATTTTTTGGAGTGTTAAAAAATCTCCACGTCGTCTAGATATAGTTATAATATAGATAGATCTAAGTCTAGGTAATAAACATCGAAAATAAGAGCACTCTCGTTTCATAATTATTATTTTGCAATTTTTAGATCATAAAAACAAAATCAATCTATTCAAATGAACATAAGATAAATAAAATCAATGGATGTGAATTATTTCGATCTAGGATTTCGAAACATTATATAATGGAAACTAACAGGAAATGGCTTTAGTTCATGAATTTGCGTGAATATATAGATACTGTTAAAAATACTATACTAAAAAGACAGGCAAAAAAAAAACCCCAACAAAACAAAAAAAAAACGTTAGACTGGATTATTCCTTTGTAGAATAATAATAAACGTTGTATCTACTGTTTCAACTCAGCGAAATACAAGGTCTTAGTGATACTAGAATTACGTTTAGGTCTATGGCGATTCCTGTGGCCGCAGCTTTCTTACGTCAAATCGAACTTTTCTTCAGATTGGCGAACCATCGTTCATGGCCACTACAAGGCGTTCAAGACCCATAACCAGGATGAGCTTACAAAACTCAAAGCCTTTGGAAACTTACATACTCCGCTGCATCGAATGCTTCTAACACTTTAATATTGGCCCTTCTAACGAGATATTAATTAATTTAATTTGACCAGCCATCTTTCTTAGCCGGAGAAGACGTTCATTATTATTATCTTTAAACATTATCGTCTATGGAACTCCCATCAACGTTTTTTTTTTTTTTTGTAGCTTAAGCTTTGTAACGCTCTCTCACATATACTTGTGACCAGTGAAACCTATTATCGTTAACTCTACTAGCAAAAAGAACAAAAATTCCTACATACAATTTAATTTGTCTTATAACGTTGTACATAGACACACGCGCATTCATGCAGCTAGTTCGTAGTTTAGGAAAAAAAAGAAAAAATCTGAATGTTTTGGTAAAGTGTCTACAATACATTATTAAGAAAACTCACGTTTTTTCTCCAATTTTCATTTAGATAGCAAATCTAACTAAACCGTTTCTCAATGGGTAGGTAAGAGTTAACATGAAAATGTGTACAATGTGAACTAATACTAATACTTATCTAGAATTAGGCTAAGTCAAATTATTTTTTTTATATTTCAAACAAAAACACTGAATAAATATAATAAAATAGATTTTAATATTTTATTTACAATTAATTTAGTCAATGATACAGTACAATTATTTCAAATATAACAAATTATCATTTTTATTTCATAACCTTTACAATAAATAACAAAACCAAAAAGAGGATCACAACTTGGGAAACATGTTCACAACACTGACATGGAACAAAAAGTTTCCATAGTGCCTGTAGACTTCTTCAAAAAGTTGTTTGTTGTTTTTCTTATAATCTAAAAGTTATTTTTCATTAGTCTAAAATATGTTTTTCTATAATTGTAATTTATTTTTTTAAATCCCAACTATTAACTAGAATTTCTCTTCATGAGTGAATATAAAGAAGGAAACATATGGAATAAAAAAGTGGAAAGGTATTTTGAAAACTGGACAAGGTGTGCATATTTTTGGGAAAAAATAATAACTAAATGGCCACAGTGAAAACTATGGTTTTACTGTTATGATTTTTCAATATATAATTATCTTAAAATTAACTTTGGCAGACTTTAAATAGAGCTTCAATGCAAATGACTGCCTGGTTGTGCAGTATGCTCTCTGGACTTTTATTAGGTCAAATGTTAATGGATTTGAAATCTGTCAGCAGCCATTCCCATTGTCCTTTGGGAATTTTTTGCTAGGATTTAATTATCTTCAGAATCTGAAGGAACATCCGAAAAATTTAAAAAATATTACACAACAAACATTTACTGGACTAGATTCAAATGTTTCTTCTTATTCAGTTATAAAGTTTAATTAAAAATACAAGTACATGAACATTTCACTACCGTCACAGTAAGTTTAAGATAAAGAAATATTTGAAATATAAAAATGATTGATGATTGTATGAAGCTCACAGGAAAGACTTGTTTACAATTTTGAAGCATTACAAGAAATAAAAAAAAGAAACGTTAGACCTGGTTGCGGGTATGTGCACTGGGCTGAAATTAGGACTTCTCGATGTTCCCAAGTTAATACTCAACCCCCGCCGCCCCCTAGTCCTGGACTAGGAAGTAAATTGTTTTCCATCTGAAGGAACATCCGAAACATTGTTAATATTTCATTAAGTAGGAATTGATTTAAAAAAAACAAAAAACACTTTAAATATTATTTTTTATTTGTTAGACACCAAGTTTTGTTGTCAAGAGTCAGCATTATTAATTACGAATAAATGAATTGTGAGTTCTCTCTCGAGTCTCTACCTACATCATCATGTAAAGTCAACATGTGCAATGAATTTGATTTTCTTACAGAATAGAACAGAAACTTACAAAAAATTAAGTTGCATTTAGACAATAAAACATAATTCTCATCACCTTATCTTTCTCATATTGCTCAGTTACATTTGTTACAAATTTTAGCAATAGTAAGTTTTTTCAACAAAGAAAACATTCTTTATACTATGCATAAAATTTTAAACAGAAAATATCAAGATTTGCTAAAATTGATAAATAAGTTATTATGTATGTTATTGAAATACTATAAACAATGATGTATTCCAGACTGTATTAAGATGTACAACCAGTGTGTACTGAGTCTTTCCTAACTCCTCCTTGCTCTAGTAGTCTACAAGAAAAACATCAAACAGTCAGAAAATAGTTTCAAATATTTATTTACTTAAGACACATTCATTTAAAAACAAGGTTTCTGTAAAATAAAATATTGTTTTTTCTAGGATAGAGAAGTGAATTCATATTGTGTTCCATCAGAAAATTTCACAGCCCTTCCAATGGCATTAACTAAGTTCAACACAGTTTAGTTGACTATACTTAATAATAATATTATATTGAACACAAGAATTTGACATTACTTAGTTCATATCTCAAAGTTTATCATCTTTTCTCTTAAATCTCCAAGAATTAGAATTTAGTAAAGTTGCTTTAAGTTTGTCTTTTTAGAGATTCTAAAATATGATTTTCATCAAATCTGAAGTACTTGGCAACACAGGGCCAAGCCCACTAACCATTAAATCATCCAAATCTCAAAAAACAATCTTTTTAATAGTGGTATTTCCAAGCATGCACTTACCACCCAGAGATCAACAGTCACAATCCCCAACCATCCTGCCACAGGCCCAAAACAAATGCCTCCATCAATAACTCTAGCTTTTTAATTGTTAAATGAAGTGAATTTGATAACACTACAGGCTATGGCTTCTTGAATCCATTATAATGTATTTATTTTTTAATGTGTAATCTTGTGAGATTGTCAACAAAAAGCAAATACTCTATAATAGAACAATGTCTTCCTTATAAATCCCAAAAGCATATTTTTATAAAATACCTGCTGATATCTTAAACCTAGGACAATATTAGGAACACTTATATATTTTGCATATATATTAAACATTTTTTAGGGTTAGGTTAATCAGTAATAGTAAGAACAATTATTTGATGTAATGTTTTCTCCCCATCTTCACTACTCACCAGAGTGATGCACTGACCTACAAAATGTACACAGTGTATTTAGGTATAATAAACATTGGTGCTAATTTATAAAAAAAAAAGTGGAAACAATTTCTTCACAATCATTATAGAACCTCTTAGAAGGCGAAACTGATACATTGAAATAATTACCTTTAGGTTCATGATATTTTGAGTATTCATTACTGTTTGTAGAAGGATTGTAACTGTTTTTATAATTTGATTGTTCAGGAAGAGCTATAAAAAAAACAAAACATCTATGCTTGATACATGAGTTAGAACTTTAGTTTTCATTACAAATAAAAACATTTTAGTTTTAAATTATAGAGAGACTTTGATAAAAATAAAAAAAGTATACGTTAATGAGACATTACCATATCTTTCTTCTTTGCTTTGGAATTTTGTGTTTAGCACATATGGATTTGTCAGTCCATGTTGTTTACTGATATATAGAGAATGAAAAAGGTAATGATTAAATGAGTTATTATGTCTAATTTTACAGATTCAAATTAATATAATTCATCACTTGTTAAATTTGTTTAGTGTAACCCATAAAACCATTATCATATTTTAGAACTCATTTCTGTAGTTAGAATTTAAAGAAATGAACAGAAAGAGTGTCTTACTTTTGTTTTGTATGAACATGCTCTCTTTCTGAGCTGTTCTTTATTTTTTGATTCTTCTTTTTAGCATAGCAACATAATGCCACAACAATTATAACACACAGGAGTGCAAACAATGGGAGTCCTATTGCCAGGCCCAGAATTAATTTAGTTCTATCTGATCACCAAGAAAAAAAAACATATATTAATTAAATAATGGTTTCTATTACGTTAAATTTATCCTTAAAAAATGTGCATGACAACCAAACTAAAGTATAACTACTTTAATCTCACCATTTTCTTTCTTCCTGAAAAAAAGAATAAAAAAACAAATAAAAATAATAGATATTGTCAATTTAAAATATTTTTGTCTGATTTATTTGGTAAATAGTTTACGGTTAAAGTTGATATAAAAAAATCATAAGAATTTCTTTTAAAAATTTGTTTGTTGATTTTTTAAAAAAATGTAGTTCAAAGAGGGAAAACATTCAGTTTTTTCAAAATATCAAGATACGCTAGAATGTCATTCACTTTAACATCTTCAACAGATGTAACTATATACAATTTTAATAAAGAGAAAAACATATGGACTTCATGTTTTACATTTCTAATGTTCTCTTGTTATTGGACAATAATATTTGTATTGGAAAAGGTTAGACAAAGGAGCACAATGATAAAAGTGTTCCATGATGACCTGTGGACCACTTTCCAAAAATGCAAACTAAAAGTTTATGGCCATATCACAAGGACCTGAGGGCTCACAAAGACTTCCCTTCACAGAACAGTACCAGGAAAAAGAAGAGGTAGATAAAAAAGCAGTGGGAAGGAAACATTAATGAATTGATGGGACTGTCATTCAAAGAAATTTTATTTAAGCAAAAGACAGAAAGATGGTCCACAGATATGTGGTGCCCCAACGGTTCAACAGAAATAAGGATTATTGAAAAAACACTTTAATGCTCTAATTTTAATACAATTATTGAATGAAATCAAATTTGTAAAGTTTGGGATCAAAGCTTAAAATAATATTTGCTTCACTAAAACTCCAGTTAATAATAATATAATAATAATAATAATCTTTATTGTCCGTCAGGAAATTTGTCTTACAATTTGTGCATTACATCAAACAAAACATTGTAACTAGAAAAAAACAAAATGTACATTCATAATTTACATGTGAACAGATTATATCAAATTGTTTCTATTAAATGAATTGATTAAAATGACAATCTCTAAACCTACTTGCAGACAGTGACATCATTTTCTTGAATACATTCTTCTGTGTCTTGACAAGGATTCAATATTTCTCTGGCTTTACAAGTTCCAGCCTCGACTAGAAACAAAAAATTAGTATTTAATATCACTATACTATTTATAATCATTCTAGCTAAAGAAATCGTAATTGCAATGAAAGGGTATAATTTATGAATGTTTGTTACTTGTATTTCCATTTAGAGATGCTGCAACAAGTAAAGTGCTTGTGTTATCCAGAGTAAATGTATCAGATATCAAATCTTGTAAAGCTGATCTTAAAGATGAGTCTGTATTTTTATCTGTGACTTGGATAGTTAGGTCTGCTATTAGGCTACCTCTCCTTCAAAAGAAAATTTATTAAATGGAATTAATTTGGCAAATGTTTAATAACAATAGGGATTTGGAATATAGGAAAACATGATATTTTATTATTTCTTGTTTTTAATAACTCCCTGCTTGTAATTTGGCCAGGGTTATCTGGAAAGTGGAAATTCTTTATTTAAAGAAATATCAAAGACAAAGGATTTTAAAAAATAAATTAACAAATTAATGAAACAAACCTTAGAGCTCTCACTATGACTTTGTAAAAAATGAATTTCTTTCCTGCAAATTTTGTGGTCATCTTAAAAATCACAATTATAAAAATGTGTTATTTTATGTTGAAGTACAACTTGAATGACAATGCAAAACAAAAAAAATGTATAAGTCTATAATAACTACTTACAAATAATAATTAAAAAGAAATGAACTAGAATAAATAATGATAATAATAGTTTTGAATGGATGAAACTGATATAGAACACCATATACATGGTACAATATAGAGCTTGAAAGATGAATGAACCTGTTTCCTACAATCTGAAAGGGGCTTAGAATTTATTAATACAATTTTACCTGCATCTCTATATCTCCACTTAGTTTCTTATGGTCTTCACTATTTCTGTCTTCTAAATTTCTTTTAGCCACATCAATGTCAAATGTCACACTTGTATTGTAGTCCAGAATTTCTAATGAAAGCAAACAAATTTGTTTCTTTTGAAATATTGTGCAATTTTTTAAACAAAGAAAATGGAAAACTAAATGCTTATTTGAGATACATGTATGAAATACTATTGCAAATAGATTGCAATATAAAAGAATGAGATTGCAAATGTTTAAAGTCTCAAGGGGGAATTCTTGCTATTTTCACAATAGTTTTTTTTTATCAGTTTAGTGAATTACCTTGACATTTAAAGCTATCTATGTTGCTGACAATATATCCAGGTCTACAAGAACACTTGTAACTTCCAACCGTGTTTTCACAGATCTGGTCACACTTGGTTTGGTTAGAGCTACATTCATCTAGATCTGGAGAACAAAAAGTCAAATAGAAATGTAATACATTAATTACATTTTCAAGTGTATTTTAAAAGCTAAAATATAATGATGAGTTTAGCGTCCACACTCAATGATTAGCATTAGGAGAACAGTATGCAAGGTTTACAGCACAAACTTTTTTGACCAAGCTATTTAAAACCTGCCATTTTGGTACTGACTATATTGAAGCTTACACAAAAAAAATATTTCATTATGAACATAAAAAAAAAAATTATCATATAGCCTACATCATTGTATTTAATTATAATATAAG